TTTCCCTCTCTCCCCCCGCAAGGGGACGTGCGTGGGGGAGCAAATTCTGCCTTCCCTCCCCCCTCCAAGACCGCCCCTCGTGGTGTGTCCCTCAAATCTCTGCTGGTCGCATCACTGCAGAAGCAGAATGGAGAACCAAAAAGAAGACTCCAGCCTCACCCTCGGAACAATATCACTCAGTCAATCCCCCCCCCCCCAGCTGTTGTTGTGTTCGTCGCCGTTTAAAATCCCCCCCTCTCTCGTAAAAATGGGAGCGCTAAAGATAGGACGACAGGGAGGAAGAGAGGTTTGGGAGTCTTCTCAACAGGGGGGATTCTTAGTGGTGCAGGAAATTACCCATGTTGTTATTTTGGTAATCCTTTTTAAATATCAGGTTTTGGGACGAGGGGGGGGGGGGGGGGTAAAAAGACCGGAGGAGGGAGGGAGAGAGAGACTGAGGGAGACAAAAGAGGGATCCAGGCCAGACAAAACGATTGGCGGCTCCCAGGGGGACGATGTGGTGTCTGTGTGTACACAACACACGTCTCAAGTGCTGGAGACGAATAGCATTATGACGCCGTGCGTCTCTGCTTCTCACCAGTAATATTGGTATCCATTGAAATGAAGATGTATCATTGAGATAGTTTTTCTCGGGTGGACGACCTTTCACCTCCCACTCAATTCCTTAACAATCACTAAGCTCCCACTCTACGGTTTTTGGAAAAAAAACAAGATAGATCACTGAGTGAAATCCGTCCCAGTTTAAGTCCAATCGAGTATGAAAATCCCTCCATTGCAATGGCTCAACATTTCATTATTGTCGGCTTTCCTTATTTGTCACCAACCTTTGAGACATAAGCTGAACATCCCATTACTTTCTGTGATTTGCCATGTTAACATCCTACAACCGTTTAAAGTTGCCGTTGTACTGACAAACATATAAAAAAAACAACCTGTTGGAACTAGCCGAGAACCAACAGAAAAGAAAGTGAACAACTAACAAATTTAAAAGAATTTGTTGGAGTGAATGTTGGAGATGAATTCCAGAGGTGGCCGGAAGAAAGAACCATTTGGCCGCTGTGTAAAATGAAGTAAGCCCTGTGCGTCAGTAATGATCTGTGCCCAACTCGGTTCATTCAGACTAAAACACCGCCAACATCCACAGCTATAGGAATGGAACTGTAAATTGAGGTTTCCTTTCAAGACAATAATACACATTATAACATTCACGACTCATGTTTACAATGTCTACTGACCAGAGGAGTCACCTCCTGCTGGCCTTTAGAAAGAATGGAAGTTCAATGGCTTACCTCTTTAATAATCTAAATAAATCAGAAATGCGTACTTCAAATGATAACATGTTTTTATGTCATGAGTTTATATCTTGTTATGCTGCACCAAGCTGATTAATGTCAACTTTTGTAAAGTCAAAATGTTGCTGCAAAGCCTCACTTCACTTCATACTTCAAGGCTAAATAACTATGGGCTTTTACCGATAAGGAGGAGAATTATCTGCCTGCATTCTCAGCCGTTAATCAGTGTCACTTATGGAAATCCAAGCCTCCCATCGGCGCGCCGTTGTAGATAGTGGCTGACACAAAAGAGGAGGATCGGCTCACAAGATGCAACTCGCAGTGTCCCGTCGGTACCTTATTAACCCCCTTTATGCGGCAGATGCACCCCTGAAGGGAGCTGGGCGTCTGTTTCGGTTGTCTTACACTGCTCCCCCAAACCCCCAATTCCTTCAGTGGGGTGAGGCACAGTGAATGAAAGGAAGGATGGGATAATAGAGAGAAAAAGACAACCATACAGTGTCTCTATTGAGACATGTCAGCGAACACGAACACCCTCTTTTCAGAAGGCCTCCTAACGTTAATGTTATCCAGGCAGCCCCCTGAAACACACACACACACACACACACACATGGATCTTTTTATATTAAGCAGGAGTTGGACTATTGCTGCGATTCCTAGGGATCAGAGTATGAGCATATCTCTCAACTCAGTAGAAATGTAAAAGCCATTTCATCTCATTAATCCTGCGGCCCCTAATGGTTTGTGTGGGTTTGACTTCAGGGCTGCAGAGTCTGGTACGTTGTACCCACAACTTGTGCCTATAGATGTAGTTTAGATCGCTTACTGTTACTCAAAACACTAATTAATGTAACTCGAGTGACTATTTTGACCATTAAGATGGACTGTTAAGACTATTTGACTAGTAAGATCTAAACTACCAAGAACAATAATCATGGATAGTAACTATTTAACTTAACGGTGTCTGAGGATGTGTTTCCTCTTTAAAACTCCTTAAAGAATCCCACTGGCATATTTTTACACTTCCAGTATACTTGTGTCTTTTCCAGTTTGCTCCAGTCAAATCCAGCTGTCATTCTACTCAACCCGTCCATCTCCCTTCAGCACAATTTCATTGAGTGGAGTCGATCCCAGTTCAATCCTGCAGCCTGGGCCTGTTTACCCTAGAAATGTCTTGCCAGTTCTTCTTAACCTGAATGGCAAAACAAGCCCTTGAATCCCAGCTTGGATCAGCGCGCTACTCTGTCCCTTCCTTCCTGGATCCGTGGTTTGTGGTGATAAGGAGGTCATGGGTCAGCGTGTGCTTGAGTTGTCGTCATGGGACTATAGATCACAGCGAGTAGCAGTAGCTCTTCCTTTTTCTGCAAAGGATGCACAAACATGTCCCTATATCATCCCCAGTGTAAAACGGCATTGATTCCTGAAACCGTTTGAAGTTCTATTCAGAAACGATCAGGTCAGATTGGTCAAGGTGACGTGGTGCATGTGGCAGGAATGCTCTCTTTGACCCGCAGTAAATCATCATCTACAGTTTGGTCGCCAATAAATCTGGCTTTTTTCTCTTTTAAACATTGAGCAATCACCCCGTCCCTGCTAGAAATCAGTTTGAATAGTTGACAAGTGGAATAAGATAAGAAGAAATAGGAAGCTATTGATCTCCTTTGGAGGAATAAATTTCCTATAGTAAAAGGATGCAGGTCTCATACGACGATGGCAGGAGCATGTGACAAAGTGGGCTATGACCCATAGAAGGGAGTCAAAGGACAGCAGAACAAATGATACGCTGCCTATAGGCAATCGCTGCCACTAATTTCTCTCAGCGTTTCGTCTCTTGGATCCATCAATTGTAAGAGAGTTCACGAAGGAGCTTTTCAAAAAGCTGAAGTCTTGTTTAAGGACATACTACTCGACGTCTTTCTGTCCTGTTGCTCTACTTCTCAACATACATAATCTAAATGGGTTCCATTGATATGTGCATACGTGTATAATAGAGTAGGAATGTTCAAATTGTTTTGTGCACTTGTGTTGCTGGAGTTTAACCTCCGACCAGTTGTGGGGCCATATATGCAAAAACCTGGATATACCTCTATGAGCGGCCCATTGTAAACGCGACTTGATCAGACAATAATGTGTCAATGTGGTGGTTCCAGATTATTCTGCTGCTCCCAAGTGGTCAAAAATAAAAAAAACTTTTAATACCAGTTTAAAGAATTAACGCAGTTTACTGGTGAGTCGCTGCTCCACAATCGCTCCCTGAAGATGGAAGATGGAAGTGTGGTTAAAACTCTTGGGATATCTCTACAGCGCGCGGCGGCCATTCAGTGATCCCTGTTACTCCTGCGGCATGTCGAAGGACGATACCACTGATGTGTTCCTGTCTGAAACACAGACACACACCTCCTGTCTGTGCAGGGCAATTATGGTCATTTCAGCGAGCAGCGATTTACTACTTCCTGCTGGGTTCTCTTGGGCTTTTAGTGTGCAGAAAATTAAAAAAAACTGTATGTATACTCATGAGGCACAATCCTATCTGTACAAACCAGCTTTCAAGTTTCTTGAAACAAGCTTCACTTGTTGAATCCAACAAACTTGTCACCAGCGTCTGCAGTGAATTAATAGTTTCTCACACTGGATGCTGAGTCCCACTTAAGGTATTTAGTCCACTGGTGTGTCACTCACAAGCTTGCTTCTCTAACCGAATGTCGATGCTCAGACGTTGCACTGCGTCGCCTGTTGGGGGAGGAATGATAAAACACCGAGATTATGCTGCTTCTATTCGCCACCAATGAATTAAAGATTAAGGGGCCATAAGTGAGATCCTTACTGCCCTGCAGCACAACATGAACATAATACATCTTCAAGGATTTGATAGAGCAGTTGATCAATAACGGTGACTCCACACACTAATCCCCCCAACACAAACACACACACACACACACACACACAAACACACACACACACACACATACTGACTTGCACTTTTCACCTGACACGCTCAGGAATGGAGGACAGTGCTATGAGGGCACCATTATGTACTCAGGCCAACAAAGCCAATAACACAGCAGTACTGTACTCCCAGTCTACTGCACAGGCACCAGCGAGTCACGAGACACACGTACAGACAGAGCGACTTTATTACTTGTTGTGTTGTTGTTGAATAAGGGCCACTAAGGTCATTGAAGGGCGGACATTATTATCATTATTATTTTCCGCCTTATGTATTATGAACACAAGGATTTCTCATTTTATGTTGATCTATGCTTAATCTATGGTCCAGCAGTTCCAGAGCCAAATTCCCCTTTTGAATCCTATTTCTGGCCACCTGGCAAATTTGATTTAAGTCATCACATTCTCTTGTTGCTCCGTTTTTGGTCCCTACCGACCCCTAAGGGACATATCCGTCTCTTTGAGTGCCAAACGCGCCATCAGCTAGTTGCTACTTTGAGCAGGTTACACGGTGTGTTTTTAGAGCCTTTTTTTAAGCTTTGTACAGCGACTGGAATTATAACAGCAACTATGACAGGCCTTTTTGTCCGAAGGCTTGGAGTAGGGTGGAGATCAGGGCTCATCCGCACCGAGCATTTTGAAACACAATCATTTTGGTGATTGTGTTTTCATTTTGGCAAGTCAAAATATTTTGCTCCTCTCTATGATGTTCTCTCTCACACAGAGAGCTTCTTGGATGAACCAAATTGACCACCAGCGTGTGTAACTGTGTGTGTGTGTGTGTGTGTGTGTGTGTGTGGTCCCATGGGTGTGCGTTTGCACTCAGACCAAACTGACCTCTCATGTTGTTTATGAGGCCTTAATTCATCCCAGAGCCCCTGATAGCTGAGAAGCTCAGCGACGGCCTGTTTGGGGTGGGGCAGTGCTTTTGTGTGCGTGCGTGTGTGTGTGTGTAGAATAGTAGGGTTCTCCCGGACAGGGTTTGCACACTCGGCGAGCAGATCATCCATCTGGACGGAAGTAGGTTCATTGTTGTGACACCCCCAGCGTGGTGCTGTCTGGAGAGGAGAACACCCCTCTTCACCTCCCTGACTGCGCCGTGCATGATGCAATAGGACGGATGCGTTTGTGTAACGTCCACGTCGGTGTTGAAGAGCTTCATGCTGAGGTGGGACTCTCGACGGAAAGAACGGGGACCCCGAAGGGTCAAAGCACAGCGACTCAAGGAAACACACAAACACACAGGAAAGATACGATCACAGGAACAAAACCTTCTCAGCAACTCACACACAGAATGCAGACACACAAACACATCCAGTCAAACAGAAAACAAACGGCACAATTGATGATAGAAAACGGACACAAAATATGGCCGGCGTGTTTTGATTAAGGTCACCTTGAAACTTATGTCTGTTTTAACTTTGAACATTTCTGCTTGGGTTGTATAAGAAATAATATTTTTCTGAATTGATAGAATTAACAATACTGTCTACAGTAGCATGTTGCAAATATACAATGAATATACATTCTCCAATTATCTTCCATTTGTCTTCTCTGCTAATTAGGAAAACCCATTATGTAAGATGAAGCTTTATCGAGCCAACCTCAATTTCCAAAGGGATCAATAGTTTTGTCTCCTATGTTTTTTTTTTATGAACAACAAACCAATATAATGACCTCAGAATGTCATCCGCACTCCGCACTCATCACCAAGTTAATGAGAAACATAAATGTATTATAGCAGAAAGACGTTTGAAGTCCACCTGGCTTAAGTGAATTAACAGCACAGCACGGACCCAACTGCATGGGACACAAGTCACGGGGCCACAAGCTTGAGACACACCGGTCACAGGATTGGTCATATACGTTTTATTGTTCATATCAGGAACGTTGCGAAATAAAAGTGCTGTATACTGGTAACACAATCGCTCAGGGCAGCACATGATTACAGAAGTGCAAATGCTTATATGGAAGAAAACATAAATGATCCTGCATGGAGGCTTCCTCGTGACACCATCTCATCTCGCCCAAACACTCCCTGACGTGTCTCCGATAGCTCCTTTAACGGTTGTGGTAACTTTTTCATTTCACAAAAATTACATTCAACTTTTTCTCCAATGATTTTTTATATTGTAAACTAAAAGATCTGCTATGATCAGTTAGTTAGTCGTATTATTATTACCCATGACATAGAATTGTTGTGAAAATAATCGTTACTTTCATCCTTTTCTGAAAAAAGGGAAATCATATGAGGCGAAGAACAGTCCACATCACAAACAGTATTTCCAGGAGCCTATTATGACTCCGATAAAACAAATGTGGGAAAACAACATTATGCAGGTTCACTGTAAGTTAAGGACATTGGAGGTTAGCTAGTTCTCCGTCTGTAAATATTGAGGCAATCTGCCCACATCTTCTGACCTCTCACGGGAACGTTAGCACACAATGTCCTGACACATTGGTTTTGCATAATTTGTTTTGCATCTAAGGATATAAATACAGTCAAGGCACGCTGGCTATGCACACAAAGTATCTTGGATTCTCCACCGTGCCGCCCTGCAGCACGGACGCCTCACAGCGTCCGTCCTGCTGCGACAGGAGGCCGATGTGGGACGAGGAAGAGGGATTGCGAATGTTAAGAAGAGAAAGCATCTGGGGGCAAACAAAGGGACACCTGCTCATACAGAAATTACAACGACGTAGCTGTCGTTTAAAGCAGCGGTTCCAGAGCTCTTTTTTTTTTTTTTTTAACTCATCCATACACATCAAAGTCTGCTCTTTTTTCCGCCGTGTTTCTTGGACTTGGCAACCCACTGTGGCAGTAACAACACTAAGTGGAAAACCATTGTTTTAAAGGATGCTCTCAGGTTACACAAGTTTACACTGTAAACAAAATGACAAACAGTATTTGCAGTATGCCAAAAACCAAATACATCCCACACTGAAGGCTGCTTTCTGGCACTGTGTACCTTCTGAATGAATATACTTCTATACAAACCGCTTCTTATGTTCTCCTCTGTGGATGCGGATATAACTGGGTCAAGAGTTGTTGTGCTCGCTCTTCATTTCACAACATGACTGCTTCAACGTTTCCCGAGCCTCCGTTATGAGCGCTGTCCTCACTGTCACACATTACGTGCATTTAATCTCTGCCATGAATGAATTACGACTTCCTGATTAAAAGGCTCGCGCATGCATTTAATTGTTCAGATATTTGAACATCTGGAATGAAGATTTCAAATAAGGCACCAGTGCTTTTTTTTCTGCTCATTTAACAGCAAGTACTGTATTTCAGCATAACGCAGAGAGGAATGAGGGGGAAATGAGTGCGTATGGATTATGTTGAACTTAAAAGCTGTTTTGAGGAATGACGCAAATCGTGATGAAACAAACGTGAAAGATGAGCTTCGGTTTCTTGAAATACAGCTTTATTTGTGAATGTACACTGATTAGCAATACATCTAAAAGCAAATCCATTAGATAACCATTTATATAGGATTTTCACAGCTCACAAAGTAGCTCGGCTCATTCTGGCATGCCAAAGCAAAACTCGTTATTTTTTTTTGAACAGAAAAAAGGTGGATAGAGGTCATTTGTGAAGCAAGGTGCAAACGGAAAGAAAAAGTGGAGAAAATAACAAGGATCCAATGCACCTTCAGTTCACCTGCGAGCAATTTGCTCATAAATGGTTTATAAAAAATGAATTAAAAAAAGCCTAGCACCCTTTGCAAACTAAACGAAAAAGAGAAAAGGGTACTGTGAGAAACATGGAGCATGAAAATAAGATTTCTGGGAGGAGCGATTGTATGAAAGAAAACGGCGCTCTGGATGATGAAAATATGGTCCGTCAGTGTCAAGTTGTCCCCACACACGTGCATATATATATATATATATATATATATATATATATATATATATATATATATATATATACACATACACTATACTGAGCCATTTCACACAGCTAAACATGTATCCCTAACCCTCCCCCCAAATCCAATACTTCACATTGCTAGCTGGGATATTGGTACATCTGGTTAAACTGCCATGGGGAGGATAAGTGGAAACACGTTACACTTTGGAGAGTTCAACTGTGGGTCATCCGACAGTTACAGCACGATTGTTTTTACTGGAGAAGCTGAAACGACAACCGGGCTCCGAGAGCAATCAAATGATAATAATAAAAAAAAGATGTATATATACGACCTCCTTGTAATATTCCAGGAGGAAATGAATGGCGAATAAAGCCGCTGTGGATGCAGCAACTGAAACAGAAACAAAGTCTGCGGGAACCTGAGGGGTGTCGATGCAGTCACTGGGGAGATAACAGCGCTCTTTTTTTGGGGTGTTTGAAGCCCGAGCAGGCGGACGCCAATGGCAACCTTTGTCTCATCATCAAAAATAATGGAGAAAAATCATTTGAATATTGCTTTAAAAAAACAAAACAGGGTAAACTAGAAATGTGTCACCGCTCCGCAACCCGTGACTCATTTCAGCCGGCGCCCGCAGACATTTTGACATGCTACTTCGACACTACACTTCCTGTTTTGTTGAAGTGGAGAGTTCTCATGTGCGACACCAACGAAAGACTATTCTTTCCTGCTTCATTCGACTCACTTTCGGGGTCCTGACCTTTCTCAGACACCATTGCTTTGCTTGCTACTTGCACAACTTTTATCAAATGACTTCACAATCTCCTTCAGTGGTGAAACCACTTGCAACTGAAATGATTTATATACCACAAGAAAAGTGCAGCACAAAAAAATAAAAAATATATTTAGTTAAAAATCTATAGCCAACATTTCCAGTTTTCATATATCTGTGTTATAAAGTAAATTTGTGTACTCTGCATGTTAGAATATAATTTCAGCATTCAGGCATCACTAAAGAACAAAGTCAGGCATATAAATTCAGTTCTTGCAAAAAGAGAAAACGTGCTTGACGGCTGCAATTCTCTGCAAAAGCTTACGAACGAGTACAAAACAGAGTGGATTAATACCAAATTTGTGTTGAATAAAAAAAAAGATCACATTTCATGAGATGACGAACTACGCAGGGACGCTCTGCTGCAATGAGATTGCTTCTTGGTTTTAGTTTGGCAACAACGTCGAGATCAAGAGTGGAAGATGTGAAAATGCGACATAAATAAATTGAGCGAGTCAGCGCCTTTGCAATGATGTTAACGTGATAAACCGCCAGCCTTCATCCTCACATTGTTGTCCAGTCAAGTTTCAACCCGCTCTTCTAGTTCAACCAAAATCAGCCAACGAGACGCTTTGCATCAGAAGGCCGTGAGAGAGAAAACCTCTGAATCAACACCAGCGCTTGGCTCTTCATCCTGGAACCAGTTTTCCAGTGTGACTTCAGATGTCATGTGGCCTCTCGGTCACGTGGCCCAGATGTAAAAACAAAACCTAAAAAACAAAGGGGTTCTATTTGTGCAGTTAAACGACACTCGCGCTGCCACGTAATCGTTGGATCCAATTGTACTTTGAAGCATGAAATATGCTGCGTGGTTTCCAGTTCTAAAAACACAGGAGGGGCCAGTTATTCAGGATCAAGGAGCCCTGTTAAGAGTACCACACAGGTGATCACGTGTGCACACACGCAACACCCACCCCAGACCCCCCAGATGTGCTGCAGCTGTAATTTGTGCACCCACATGCCGAACCCCAAACTTCATTCTCGTCTTCTTCTTTTTTGTTGCTACGCTTGATAACCGTTTTTTTTCTCTCAATCTGAGTCGTTCTTCTGCCTTTTGCACATAAAACCTTTTGTTAAGAGATTTGAATAAAAGGATAACACATAAAAGGGCGTCGCAGACGGAGACAAAATAAAAACACAGACATGAAACACAAAGACGGGGCTTCCGGCCCTCGTCCCTCTTCCTCGGCGCAGACGGCCTTCCTGTCTGCTCTCAGGCCTCCGTCTTCTCTTTCTTCTTGTTCTTCTTCAGGAAGGACGGCGTGCGGAACTTCTTCTTCTTCTTGGTGCCGGGCGACTTGGAGGGCGAGCTCTCGGGGGACAGCGCCTCCTCGATCTTCTCGCCGGAGCGCACCGTGATCTCCACGCTCTCCGCGCTGGTGGTCAGCCGGCTGACGCGACTGGACAGCTCCTCGTCCGCGGCGCCGTGGCCGTCTTTGCCGTTCATCAGGGCCGCGTGGTTGGCTGAGGGAGGAGATGTGAGATGGAGGGTTGGGTCGAGATCACGAGAGGAACACTATACATTTTCATAGGACTATTTAATGCTTTACTGTGCAAATCTGGCCAAATACTGATACTATTAGATCTGTGCGTTGAATGCTTCACGAAAAGAGACGTGGCGTCCTGGTGCTCTACATACATTTCATAACATGAATGCAAAAATGTTCACAGAACAGAGCAGAACAGGGCGTCACATCTCTTTCTCCGTTATTTTTGCCCCCGAATGAAAACACGCAACACTCGACCTGGTTTGAGCGCGACTGCGGGCTCACCTAATAGCGTTTCTTTTTTTTAGGAAATACGTTTCCCCACAGCCGATGTGCTGAGGCGAGTTAACTGTTTCTCATTGCGTGATTTTGCATTTTTGGTGCAAGTCGGCCACAGACAGGAAGTCGATCCCACAGAGTCACTATTTACAACCTGTGAGGAGGCCGCACTGATCTCGGTCTCTGGTTCGATGCACCAACCGGCCTCCAGTGTCACACACAGACATCTCTTGGTTCATCGATTAGAGACGATCGACCAAAGAGGCAAACTACTCAATTCCCCATAAATCACGTGACACCGTCGAGCTAGTTGTTTGACACACAAGGCAACGGAGAGGCAGGCGATCTCGTCCTGGTGTGAACTCGATTCGAGACTATTAACAACAAGTAAATATGTACATTCTGAAAATAATTATTTGATTGACAGCAAAAGGTTTTTGGGGCGGGACAGCCGCCTCTGAAAACCAAAAGCGATCAGCAGTAATGTAACATTAGTAAGAAGTAAGAAGAACGTTTGCTTCATCACTTCTCATGGGTACGGAAAAGTGTTCATCCCAACATAATAATGGACATTATTGCAGTTTCCTTATTGCGGACCTACGAGTTTTCACAGGAAAAATCATTAGTGCCGTACGAAGGCATAGGACGGATCAGTAGTTTAGGCAGCGCATGCAGAATTAACAATCAATTTGCCCTCTCATGCGCGCACTCTGAAACAGTGAGAGACACGGAGCAAAGCAGTTAAGATCATTCTGACAACGTCCCCCCTCTCTGGGTGAGCGATACCTTCTTTAGCCGGAGTGCTCTGCAGCGACTGGGTGAGAGACACAGACTGGGAGAGAGTGGAGCCGTCGTCGGAGGTTAGCTCGTGCTCTCCATCTGTGGGGGGGTGGATGAGAGGATTGCAGGCCGGTGTAGAGGATTGAAGCAGTGGGACGACAGCAGGGGTGAGTGGGATGAGAGGATGGGGAGGGGGGGATTTGGGATGAAGGGTCATGGGGGGGGGGGGGAGTGGGTAGGTTTGAGAGATTAGTGATAACACACATGTTAGAATCAGGCCATGCACAGCTGCTTTTCCACAAAAATTCCCCAAATCCTTATTGGTTGTCTGTTATCCATTTTTTTCTGGTGTCTGCGCTCTGTGACGTTTCTTTGCTGCCTTAATGTCGCACTGACAAACAGACATTCCACTGCATCACTCGTTATTCATTATTATGTTGTCCAAACTCGAGGGAAATACAAATACTTACCACTCTACTCGGAGTAAAAGGCTTTGGGGGGTTTTATGTTGAGGAGCCCTTTATATGCATTTATTGGCTCTTAATGCAGCGAAACGAAATGATCACTACTTGTTTTTACATCTTTTAATTTTAACAACGTTTGTACACACAAGAGAATGTGAGTGCCCCCCCCCATTAGTAACTTCACTAGTGTTGAGCACTGATTGGAGTGAATAAATGCCTTTCCCATTATCCCTTTGACACGTTCACTTGCACATTCTGGCTGCTGAGGAGTCTCACTCGTTCTCAACAGCCGAGTCGGTGCAGTGCGAACATGTTCCCTGTCAAATGTTACACGCGCAAAGAGGAGATCTGGAGAGGGAACCAAGTTCAAGGTCCGGGCATCGTTTTTAAATAGAGAAAGAGCTGCATGGGTCTCATTGCGTGGAAAATGACGGCCTCCAATGAAAGCTTTTCAAACTATATCCACATTTTATTCTCTAAAACAGTCAGTTTTGACCTTTAATGTTAAAAAAGATCACACTTTACAAAGCTTATACCCAGAGGGGGCTGGACTACTAATTAGAGGGTAAATCTGTGTGTGTGTGTGTGTGTGTGTGTGTGTTGCCCAGGCATATATGGGGCCATGACAGACGGTCTCCAGCTTGCATCCAGATTGGCCATCGGGGGATTTGAGGGCCTGTGGAGGCAACAGTGTCATAGCAACGGGCTCCGCTCATGTGGCGGGTGTGAAGACCTGCTGTCTGTTCGGTCTGCCGTCTTTTAGTCATACCGGCCTCTCGTGCGGTACATGTGCACATGCACACGTGTGCACCTCACGCGGATGGCCGACGCCGTTGGACGCATGTGCACACACCTTCGTCCGTTCCAACATGGCAGGACTCCGTGTGTAATTAGGACTAGGGGTCAACCCTCCCCCCTCGCTATATGTTCACTATTGATTCCGCCCCCTCCCCCGCCTGTCTGAAAAACCGTGGGACAGAGGGATAATATGATTAGCATTGACAATACTGTGTGTCTGTGTGTCTGTTAACACAGATGAAGCTGCAGGGCGAGGCCCTCGTGATAGAAGGTGTACGTGTGCGCGTGGATGTGTGATACCCGAGGCGGTCAGTTGGAATACTAGAGCGCGTCCGCCTTATTATTAACAACCAAACTGCTGAGAGAGCGGAGAACAAACCCATCACACGCAGTGATCAATCCGCGTGCAAAGGAGGAGGGGGGAACAGAGTTTCCAGCTTTTAGAAGGACGGATTTGTTTTTGAGTTCCGTATGAAATCTGCTCTTGCGGTTTTTGCAGATTCGGAGCGCTTGAAAATGTCACATGGTGCTCGTTAACAAGTTTAACGGGATTCAGCAGAACGCGCTAACATCTGGCTTTTAGGGTCCCGTCCTCGCTGCAGTTGGAAGTCTGTTATGCAAGTGAGAGGGCGGATGGAGCGCACTCCATGTGGCCTGACACTCGTTAAGAGGGAGGAATCTGCTCGCTTGGAGACTTCAGGTCAAATCAAATTGATTTTATGGCATTAGTAAAAGGAATATCTTAATGGTCTATTGGGCAACAGTACGTGTCTCCACAGATGGGTTTTGCATTTATAGCTCAGAATGCAATAAAAAACAAAGAGAAATGAACTGATATCTGTGATTGATCAACATGGATGTCAGCAGGCTCTCATTCCAACTGAGAGCACACATCCTTTAAAGAAAAGCAAAGACCTGCAAGTCATTCAAGTCTAGGGTGAAATCTGTCCGGCTCAACCTAATCTCTTCCTGGGACCTTTGAAATGGGTTGAAGTGGCTTTGTGGATTGATTATTGATTAATTAGTAATCTTGAAACGTGTCAAATAGAGTTGTTAAATGAGCCATCAGAGAGTTGCATGATTGTTTGCTGCCCACACACAAAGAACATTGAATGCAAGTCACTGAGTGTGTGTGTGTGTGTGTGTGTGCTCGTTCATCTGTGCCAGAGTGAGCAGTCCATATGTCTCGCAGTGGGACTGGGCCCTCGTGGTTTTTGCAAGTTGAGCGTGAAAGTATTCCAAAAAAACAAATCCACACACCTACGAACCAACGCAAACACACCAGTCCACTAACTCATGAGTTTGCATGTTCTCTCAAGTGTGTGTGTGTGTGTTAATGCATGTTTGTGTACACCTGTGTGTATCGTACCACCGGGGCTTAGATGTCTCCTCTCCACGTTTGTGTAGTACTCCTGCATCTCCCTCTCTGCCTGCTCACTGAAGGGGTTAGGAGGCAAGGGAGCCATCTGCTCCTCCTCAGTGGGCACGTATGGCTGGGGAGGAGACAGGGAGAGGGGTGAGCATGGGAGCACACACACACACACACACACACACACACACACACACACAAACCAATGTATGCATCAGAGCATAAACGCATGCACACAAACATATTATTTGAACACACAAATCAAAGAAAAAAACCCACATACACAATCTTGAAAACACACACAACTTAACCGTTGCTGTTCATAAAAGATAAAAGCGCCGACCACATCACAAAACTTGTATAATCACCGACCAATTAGTCTGCAAACCGAGATCTTTTTCACAGATTGTGGAACCATAAACACCAAGCATGACACACACACACACACACACACACACACACACACACACACTAATGCAATTAACACTACAGGGGCACCGTCATACACATAAAAAAAAATGACACGTGTGCACAGACAAAAAAGTCAAACTCAAGAAGTCAACCACAAGAAAAACACCGAATCCAGTTTCGTCTACGACGAAAATAAAGCGGATGAAATTGATTTGGTGTCAATCTTTAAACACCACATTAATAAACACATGCAATATGTTGTTCCAAACGGGCAGTAAGGTGTCAAATGAATTCAAACAGTCAACAAAAAAAATAAAAACACCATGGCAACGACATACTGTAAAACATTTGTGGATATTTACCAGAACTTTTGTATGCCCCAGATCCTTCAAGACAAGACCACCACAAAAGCATCAACATCAAAACCTCTGCATGAGATATTTTCACCTCAATCTTTCCTGTGTATGTGTCACCTTCTATCGACGCCTTTATCTGGATAACTAAGTACAGTACTGCTATCGATTTACTGGAGGCTCCAAAAGCTTCGGCCTGGCCTCCACCTAGTGGTCGAGCGGTGTCACTACGGCGGCTGTGCGGCCGGGCGACGTGCTGAGGAAGGCGATTAACGCACCGGTGTTTCCACTTGTGTTTGATCAGAAACACCTTTAGGTCATTGCTCAAAAACCAGTGATGAGGGAAACCTGTACTGTTGGTCCGACAGGCAATAAAGCACTTGCTGCCGACATAAACACCACCACGGGACCCTCTTTGTAGAGCAGAATGAAATTGAAATGCAAAGTTAAGGTCTCTGACTCTGAGGACAAAGAAACATTGAAAAGCAGCTTCTGTTTATGATGTCACTGCTGTGTGTTATGTACACATTATGGCCAACATGGGTGAATGCTCTCCATGCAGTTCACCCTGATGCGTCGCATGTAATAATTCCTCAGCATTCCCAGAATATAACTGGTGTGCTGATACCAGTTATATGATATCTTGGCTGGTCGATGGTCTTATTCTTACATCTATAATAAAAGAATAAACTCAATTTATAGATTTATAGAGTAGCCTTCATCACGTGTGTAGCAATGCAATGGAAAGATGAACAACCAACATCTGTAGGACAGGATTAAAGTTGTTCATAACACAGTATTCCTTTTATATTCAAACAACCCGACTGTCTTGTGTGAGTCTGATATGTTTCATGGTTCATAGTGCTGTTATCTATTGGTACTGTGCATATATTACTTTATGTTTTCTTGGTTTATCTCCTGTACTGTTAATACTTGGTCTTTGAATGGGCACAAACTGAATGAATGAGTGGTTGGACCTGACGGGCGGGTGGATTGGATGGATGTGCACAGTGTGTGGGCGGGAGAAGGACTTCATCTGGCATCGATGCGATTGTTGCTACAAAAAAAATCAAGATAATGTAAAAAAACTATTTTTTATATTTTTAAATTAAAAAATATCCGTAGCTTTGGTGACAGTTAACCTGTAATCAGCTTGGGCTGTAACATAAAACAGTAAAACTAATCTTAATTAATTCAGGTATTTATTATTTATAAAGGTCCATATTGTTGCTCCTTGTGTAGACGTTCAGTGCAGTTTTAACACCTTCTTTCTGCCCCACTGAGTGAACAGGTTGACATCAGGGCGAAACAAACAGAATTTAGAATCCTATTGCCGGAAAGCCCGAAGCTGAAATAAAATCTTACCCGTCGCGGTTCGTCGACGGGGATTCCGGCGAGGTGCTGAGAGCGCGGCCCCGACGACATCATGTCGAAGCGGTTCTGTTCTCGGATCTGTGACAGGACAACACACACGCAGTGATGTCATCGTTTGGGGAGGAAAACAACGCTGACTGAGAGGAGGGGAGAGCTCGACTCACTTTGTTCCTCTTCTGCAGCACCTCAGTGGGGTCCGTGTTGAGGGGGACGAACTGATTGGCGTCCTCGATCCGGATCGGGGTTCCCGTCTCCTCCGCCTTCATCCACTGCCGGAGGAAAGGAGGCGAGGACATGTAAGATCAAACCAAGTAATAACATCCACCCATCACTGTACATATATGCAAATGATCTATTGTGACCATTTCATGTAATCCTATTGATATAGAACTTGCACAAAAGTTATATTTTATACAAGATAAAAAGCATCCAGCGGTGGCCTGTGGGATTCACCATCATTACTAACATGGTCCCTAAAGGTACAGTAAGATATTTAGTTTTCAAAAAATCTGTATCCTGTGAGACATCTAACTTTGTAGAGCAATACCATCACAGGACTACTCTTTTTAAAATCACCAAGCTAAATGCCTTAAAAGTTCATTAACCGTCACGGCGGAAGAAAACCCCAGGTGTAGTTCAACGCCCGGCCTGTAGATGGCGACCTCCCACCACGCGTCAAACACTGGGGAACCGCTGACAAAGTCCTTTGCACGGTGAGACTTATGTGACACGCAAACAAACACACATGTGCCTTGATAAAACCTTCGGAAAGAGCGTCGTCTCGGTCCGACTTCACGCCTGCAGATATCAGCAAATACTTCTGTTCTCTTCTTCTGTCATCACGCACGCACGCACAGCTCACCGTGGTCGTCCGGCTGTTGTAGCGCTCCTCTCCGCCCTCCACGTTGACCTTGGTGTAGCTGTTGGGCGAATTGAGCCAGCGCGTCTTCTCCCTCTGCTGCCGCTGCTGCAGGAACTTGAAGGGCATCCGCGTGGCGCTGCAGTCCCCGTCCTCCTCGAACATGAAGGCCGAGACCGTGGCGGGGATCTCCACGTCGCTCTTGTGCCTGGGCTTCTCCCGGACGATGGGGTGCCTGTACGTGTAGCCCGTCCTGTAGCCCTGCGGGCAGGAAAACGGAGCCACGTCAAACAATTTGAGTCAGACTTGGTTTTTTGTTTCTTCCAGCACCCTCTACCCTCTCACAGGCCAGTGAGAGGGTAGAGGGTAGGGAGGGAGGGAAACAGGAGTAGAGAGAGAGGAGACAGAGGAGGACAGAGGGGGACAGAGGGGGACAGAGAGATGATAAGAGAACAGACAGCAGAGATCAACCTGTCGTTCCCCCGAGCCGCGTTTGCACTGCGCCCCCCTCAGTGACATTTACCTGCTGAACCTGCTGAACAGCACAGAGTACCGCTGTGCTCCCGGTATTTTCTCCTCAAATCATTTCAAATGACGTCCTCGGTGGAGGGAGAGTTTATGACCTTTTTGTGATTTATAGTGTTTTGGGATGAACGGAGGTTGAGGAGGATCTGGATATTTTCCCAAGGAACTGATGGTGTAAAGTTGTATATACAAGGTTTAAACAAAGTGTCTCCTCGATCTTCAACCATGAATGACGATACCATCTCCATCTCCTTCTCTGATCCAGCCCCCCCTCGCCCCAGGAGGAGGGCACAGATATTTGTCACCTTAGGCTATGAGTTCCTTCCAGGGTTCTGCCCTCAGGTTCTGTCACGTGTGGATCAAACCCAAAGACATTTAGCTACATGAAAACGACGGGCTGGAATTCATTTTGTTGAAAAACAACCTCTGAAAAGGCCGGCAGAGCCTTGCTGACCGGCTCGCTAATGTGACCCATTTTGCATTGACCAGCGATAAGATATTTTTTTATTTATATGTGCACCTTATGGAGCTTTGTTTTCAAAAAGAATACTCCTGTTATACACTTTATGTTTACATATTATTATTTGAACGGCTGAGCATTTGTTTATTTATTGTTTAATTTAATTTATTATTTATTCATTTTTATTTATTTGATTTTATTTGAACTCCTTACTGAAATTCCTGGTTTTAATTAAACGACTAATGACATGTGATATTTGGCTTTGACTTTGCTTTGACATTTGCGTTCAGGTTTTCTTTCCTTTAATGTGGAGAAAATATCGGGATATATACCGTATATCAATATCCAACCAAAATATACCGGGACATGACTTTTGGTCTATATCAGCCAGCCCTACTCACCAGGTTATCCAGCATCCTCATCAGGGCCTCGAACTCCATCTCGCCAAACTTCCACTTCTGGCTGGCACACATGTTGACAGATCCGTCCTTGGCAACGGTGTGCACTTGTGATTTCAACTTGGCCGAGTCCAGCACTATCAGGTTGTCCACGCCGCCGGCACACGCCATGGCCTTCACCTGCCGTCCACCGGGGACAGAGGGAGAGAGGCGTGACACACAAAAAAGACAAACGTCATAACAACAGAGCGTTGTTCAGCCCCCCCCGCAATCTGAAGCTACCACAGCGGCAAGTAATGTACCGTGCTGCACGGGACGTACAGCGACTCACATGGTGGGGGGATTTATTTATGGGAATTAAGCCGGGCTTTGCAGGATGGATTAATGTTTTCTTTTGCTCGACCGCGGAGAGTCAATAGGGAGATTTGGTCTGGCCGTTACAGCGAGGGATGCAATAACATCTCTAAAATCCCCCGTGCACGAGAACAAAGGGACAAGCAAGAGAAAACCGCGCACATGAGGCTAAACCTAAGACAAGCGTTGCCTCGTTAGGATATAAGGTCTATGCATAAGTTATAACTAGTTGTTTCACATTAGCTGAGTTACTCGCCACACCGTTCGCCATCCAGCGGTACAGAATATGATCAGGAAACTCAAAATCAGCGTGTACGGATTTAATTGTGTGAAATCTGTATGAAATCTGTATGCTCGATCCGACCTTCCTAAAAACCCTGCTGTCATCTTCGTTTCAGCTTTCAGGCCGGATAAATAAAAGGAAGAACAACCCCCTTTTCTCTAAGTGCTGCCTTGGACAGACATCAACAACCACAAATCAGCTTGTTACTCCCTTCATCACTCCCAATGGCCCGGCTGCAAGACTGTTCAGCCAACATTTGCCACAAGGCAACAGATTATGACTTATGGAGTGTTGCAAAAACAGTGAGTGGGGAAATGTTAAAATTGCGGTCGAAAGACTATATTTAGCGGTAAAAGCTACGACCTGCTGACCTAATACGTGTGCACGGGAGACTGAATGTGCTGGGAACCAAAAACAGCAGCAACTACCTTGTGTGTGTGTGCGTGTGTTTGTGTACCTGGATCTCACAGACATATTGGGCGGTGTACATGTAGGTAAAGGCCTCCTCGACGCTCTCCCCGAGAGCAACTACACCGTGATTCCTCAGCACCAAAACCTGTAACACAAATGATCCCAGGCAGCATTGTGAGGCACAGCAGAACAGTCAGATAGTTTTAAGAGCTCCGAAGACCTCAACCATCTCAACAGGCACAATTAATTGACTTTCCCAGTCCCGGTTTGGCCTTCATACAGTTAAATAAACCGGATTTACCGCAATACTATATTTAACCCTTTTGTCAATTATATTTTTGTTCAACAAACCAAACATTATATGGTATCGATAAACGGGGAAACATTCGGAAATCACCCTCATAATTTATTTATAGCTTTGTCTTGCTCAGTGAGAAGGTTGATAACACCTTGTGTCTGTGCACGATGAAGTCAGGAAGGAGAGTGGCATCTTCTCATCGGACGTTTGGTCCGAAGGTGATGAGCTATTCCTTTCACAATGAACAAGCACCGCCTCAAGCGGAGGTTCCTCCTACCTTCGCCGTGGGGCCCAGGGCCTTCTGCAGCTCTTTGCGGTCCTCCTGGTCGTCCAGGCTGCCCTGGTAGCTGTAGTAGGCGATATCCCCCAGGATCAATGCCTCCTGGGAAATGGGCAGGATGCCGCACTTCATGGATGACACCTGAAGCAGGTGAGAAGAGCGGAGCACAGACCGCCGCTGACATTGAGGTTTGCGGTCTTTGACTTTGAAAAACACCTCGGCAGTGTCCATCTACGCATCGTTACAGCTTTCAGCATTCGCTGGTTAATCAGGAGCGTCTACGGCCGTTTGACTGCAGGCCGGGGTTGAAGGGGGGCACTTACAGCAGCCATGGCGGGAGTTTGCGCGTGCAGGACGCAGCGGATGTCTGGACGCATGGAGTAGATGGCGGCGTGGGGGCTGAAACCCGCGGGGTCGATCCTCAGGTTGGTGGAGCCCTGCTCGATCACATCGCCGAGGATGTTGACCTTCAACTGGGAGAACACAAGCAATGCTTCAAACGCACTGGAGCAGAGAGAGAACAAGCCTAATGGAACGGTGGCTCTCCTGGGGAGGGAGGGCTAATGCGACGAGGCCGGACGGAGGTGCTCTGTTAAGCTACCCATGCCCGGATCAGTGTAATCAAATTAGCATGTGACATACATCTCCAAATCCGCTCCATCACACACAATCAGCTAGCTGGTGACTCTGCAACGTAAACTACGAAGACTGAAGTCAAAATCAATGAGCATCACGGCAGAAATGTCATTACCAGCGATATCCTCCTCTCCAGGAAACGAATGGGAGCGTTACCAGGAAACGTAATACAGTCCCGGAGTCGACATGACGTCCTTTAGTTTGACAACTTCATTACCAGCTAGTTAGCGGTTATTAGATTGCACAGAAGGAGAGACGAGCGATGGAGGGAGACATTGAGGAGGAGAGCTGGAGGTAAGAGGGTTTAAATAGCCAGAGTGAATGAGGATGGATAAGAGGACAAGGTCTCCCAGTTAAACTTAATGACACACACCACAACCGACGAGATGAATCCAAGTGTGTGTTATTACGACAGGAGAGGCCATCTTTCATCAAATCTGACGCTAATGAAATACACGTTCAAAGGTCAGTCTCATTTTGTACTGAATGTCTGCAGCGTGAAAAGTCCTAAAGCAAAGGATGAAGCAGGGTGGAGTGCTGCAGGGACTAAAGACAAGGGCTGTGTGTACCACAGGTTGTTATCATCAGCAACAATAAAAAATACAGCTGTCAAAGACATTAAATCGCTTTTTTCTGATATTTTTGTGGTTGTTCTTTCAATCACAAACTAACACATTCGTTTTCCTGTACATGCTAAACAAAGTATGGAACATAAAGCCGTATGTTTTATGGGTTAGGCACAAGAACGTAGATTTTAATATAGAAATTGAAAAATTAAGACAGCAGGCCGAAGCAACTCAAGCTGAAAATCCGTAAACACGTCGCCGGTGCTGCTCCGCCTTTTATCAGCCATATGGATGTTCGGATGGATGACCGTCTACTGATCCTTCCACCGCAGGAGAAAGGTGAATGGCACCGGGAAAAAAAACTAGGCGATCGAACATCGACCGGTTTGAGTGACGCGTTCAGTACAGTGTTCACTCTGTCAAGTCCCGCCTCCTTTCAGTAAAAAAACCCGCCCTGCTGCTGAGAGGCGTTTCTGACAAACATAGCACTTCTAATTATAAAAAGATGCCAAAGGACCTGTCAGGAGGAATCTGAAATGTGACTCGGTTGGATGGAAAGTACACAATGGGGGCCTGAAGGACATGCAGCCCCCCCAGCCGGCTGACTCCAACACCACCTTCTAATCAATCTGTCGCCACAGCGATCCCGGCAGCGCAGCAGGCCAAGAGAGGAAGAACAAGGGGAGGAGACCAACGAGAGAGAAGCCCAGCGGCGACAGACAGACGTCCAAACACAAACAGACAGGAACACAGTGAGGGCGGTTTGACAACATCAGTTTATCTCAAAAGCTGCAGTGGTCATCGCTCTTATATGTTAAGATACCCGTACAAAAGATGGAGGAGATCCAGATGAACTAAAAATAGGATTTTGGCTTACAGCCTATGTCTTTGTTTTATACAATAACGAGATGCTGGCAAAAAGTGTAAAAATTAGATATCAAACCAAAACAAATCCTAGTAAAACATTGCGAGTCATTATTTCAGTCAGGAAGACGTGAAATGTTTTGGTTACAGTGAGCGCTGCATTGGCACACTGGGTTCTTTTCCCACCAGATGAACTTCCGCATTATATTGCATAAGTAATAATTACACAGGGCTGTCTTTTATTGGGGGATGGCTTGTGAAAGATTTCACTGTAAAAGCGGCATTGTCGACTATGTGACTTATTATTATGTACAACTGACTCTGTTTTTGTCTCAACGACTTAAATACTGGTGAATTTGTGTCTCACTCTTTATATTTGATCTTATTCCTCTTGCACTGTTGCAAGAGGAAGAACTCTTGTCGTCCATTATCGTACTGTCTGCTGTTATGCAGCAACCGCCAGGTCAAATTCCTTGTATGTCTGACATATTATGGCAATGAATGTTTCCAGCAGGTAGCAGGCGACTAGCTGGAACTACACTTCCACACTGAGATTTCTTGCTATCTATCTCTGCTGCTCCTGCAGGTCGAACAGTGAAAAATGTGCGCGTCAGCATGTTTCATCTTCCCACATGTTACACAGGTGTGTGGGTTTGTTTGCACAGGTGTTGAAGATAATGTGGGGTGAAGTACAACAAAGCAGAGAAAATTCTATAAGTGCCGGGTGACTTTTAGGCAAACCTTGAGTAAAGTCCCAAACATAATAAGGGAATTACAGGTGAGTCAGGTGGCTTTGTTAGATATTTCTCCTGAAAAGCATTCAAGGAATGAAGTGGGTGTTACAGAGCTTTAGTGTCAGATCTTTTTTACGTATTTCATACATTATGTATCAAACCAAAGACAAAATATACCGGCCACACACACAAGAAGAGCGAGACTATGAAGAGAACGGAGACACAGACGAAATGGATGGAAATAGACATCTACAATTAGAGGGAGCTCAAATTTAGGGCAGGAGTTGGCACTCAGAGTATTGCACATGTTATAGAACATATATTACCACAGCATGCCCCACGCTAACCTGCTGCTAAGTGAAATTAGCTCCACTGTTTTTGCAATTTTTCTTGCTTTACTGCTTGAATACAATAATAGTTTAATTACTAAAAACTAAATGGCATATAAATGTCAGGAAGTTTCTTACCAGATTTGATGCGGATGCCTCAGCGAATGACAGTCCTCTGGGGATGATGAGGATGTGGTCTTGCTCTTTGCTGACTCGACTCTGAGACAAGGAAGAATCCAATGGATGTAAATCTGACAACATCAGGCTTTAGCAGGATAGAATTTCTTCCTAATTTTTATAATATTATATTTTTTCTCAGGGATGCCATTATGTGAACCCATGATACAGGAATCCAGACCCTTCATTGATTAATCATTATTGAATCATTCAACATTAATTCATTCTTTCACACTTTCTTCAGAAACCAGAGCCGTGTTCAAAATATGTCTTTCACTTCTCTATTATAAATTTTCAAAAATAGTTTTACAAGTGAGATAAAATGGCGAGCAGCTAAAGTCGCATACACTATGCGACAAATAGGGGGGTGGCATAGCTGTCAACCCATTTAAGAAGTCAGTCGTTAAGTCGATGCTGCTTACGCTACTTAAGCTACTTACGGTGATGTAGGAGTTGGAGAGGTGGGCCCAGCTGAACAGGTCCACCAGTCTGTACGTGCTGGCCAGCTTACAGCGCGCCAGCTTCTCGCCTTTCACCATCGCGGTTGATTCTACTCCGTACAAGTCGTTGATGGGCGTGACCATCCCCAGACCTAAACAATGGGATGATGTTGTTTAAAGGGAAATAACAGAATATTCTCTAACCCCCCAAAAAAAAAAAAAAAAACTCTTTTCTATCTATTCTATCTGTCTATCTGGAGTTCCTCAGGGTTCCGTCTTGGGTCCCCTCATCTTCTCGCTCTACACCAACTCTCTCGGCGCTGTCCTTCGCTCGCATGGCTTCTCCTACCACAGCTATGCCGATGACACGCAACTAATTCTCTCCTTCCCTCACTCGCCCAGGTGCACCAGGTGAACTACTTCTTTCCAGGAAAAGATTCTCCGACCCAGGACTTGACGGTTAACTTTGGCAACTCCCTGTTAACGCCCACTTTGACTGCTAGGAACCTCGGCGTGACACTCGACAGCCAACTTTCCCTGACTCCCAACATCACTGCAACAACACAATCCTGTAGAGAATACGTCCTCTTCTCACTCAGAAGGCTGCCCAGGTACTGATTCAGGCTCTTGTCATCTCACGCCTGGACTACTGCAACTCGCTCCTGGCTGGTCTCCCTGCTACCGCCATTCCACCTCTGCAGCTCATCCAGAATGCAGCAGCTCGACTGGTCTTTAACTTTCCTAAATTCTCCCACACTACTCCACTCCTCCGCTCTCTTCACTGGCTACCGGTGGCTGCCCGCATCCAGTTCAAAACATTGGTGCTCACGTACCATGCTGTGAATGGATCGGGTCCAGCTTACATCCAGGACATGGTGAAACCCGACATCCCGACCCGCACTCTCCGCTCTGCAAAACTGCTCGTCCCTCCCTCACTGAGAGCAAAATACTCGACTAGATCACGACTTTGCTGTCGTTGCTTCGAAATGGTGGAACGAGCCCTCTGATGACACCAGGACCGCAGAGAGCATTCACATCTGCCGCCGCAAACTAAAGACACACCTCTTCAGACTCGACTAAAAGACTAACAAATTGTAGCACTTAAATTGTACTTATATTGCCACTCATCTATAGCAAATTGTAAATTGGCTTATTTGATAAAATTGCACTTTCTTGTTTCTTGTTCTTCTGAGTTTGTATCCTTATGGTTGAAATGCACTTATTGTAAGTCGCTTTGGATAAAAGCGTCAGCTAAATGACATGTAATGTAATATCTGTAGAGGACCACACGCTTTTATCCTCTCTTCCCTACGACGACAGCCAAAATGTCCCACCAGGTTAATGAATTCTTCCATTACGTAGAGGAACTGCCTGAGTTCCACGTGAATCACACTGTAAGGGATGTAAGCAGCCCTCCAACCAATACTTTCAATAGTTCAGCACTGAACTACTACATTGCATTTGTTGTGTAATTTGGCATTAGTTGTGCATTCCAGCGCTGTGATTGGAAGCAGATTTCACATATGGACTCCTGGACAAAAACCTTTGATCAAAACCCAGAAAAGTATGCGCAGCTCTTCCGGAGTCTGGGGTTGGGTCGTCTTTGGGTATTTATGCTCCAGAGCACCCAACCTCATGTTTGAATGTGGATCTCCCGTCTTCAACTACTGATGGCGCGTTTGGTTTTTCGGCGCTGCACAAAGCCTTTGCACCTTGGCCAAGGGGGTTGCACGTGGCGCTGAAAGGTAGCGTAACCTGCCACAGCAGTGGGAGCACTCACTGAGAGGGGAGGTGTTGAAGCCGCCCACCGAGGTCGACATGAAGAAGTCAGCGATCTGCCTGAGGGCCAGCAGGCCCGTAGTGTTGTTCCCTATCCGCTGCTGCTCCGTGATGAGACTCTCCAACTCCTCCTTGAAGGCCTGCAAGGGAAGAGGAGGGATGCAATTAGGAAGTTAGGAAAAATATATTTGACTGTAATGATATAAATATATTTGACTGTAATGATATCTAAAACAACGAGGATGATGGTGAGACAGATTTGAGTCGGTTGGGAGATGAGAGAGCGGGAGATTAGAGGTAAAAGAGGGATGAAAGAGTAAAAATATGTGGCAACATTAAGAGAGAGAGAGAGAGACAAGAAGAGAAGGACTATAAAGGAGACGTGTTAATCACGGATTAGACATTCCCCTCCGGTGTCAATCTGAATCTTCCTCAAAGGGCTGGATCCAGCTGGATCCGGATAGGCTGGCTTCACAGCGAGCTGAGTCAGGATTGGCCCTCCAGCTAAGCTCAGCCTGTGCTACGATTGGCTGCTCGATTGTGTGTGTGTGTGTGTGTGTGTGTGTTGTTCATGCTCATGTCCAGTCTACAGTCGCATGTAGTATGTGCTAACATGTGCGGGACCAGATATACATACAACTATGATTTTAGGGTTTCAATTTCCTTCAAGGCAAAATGTTACTCATAAATGAAACGATCAAACTGAAATCACAAGACCCCTTGGCATTGATGAAGATTGGAGCGGACCTTAAGGATACTTAATCCCATTCAACTCATGCAAACACTCGTGTTCATGCTGAATGGATGAAGCCAGTCAAACTCCAGCGTGTGACAGCAGAGGAGGTGATGGAGTGTGTATAGCTCATAATCTTTATAAGGTTGTTACACAATCACCTTTCCCATTGAACAAGGGCCCCGCCCCCCCGAGAATGTTTGGAATAAAAACCGCTGTCCATTCGTTGCTGCGCGCAGCAGTTCTGCCCCAAAAACGTGCGCGTGTACACCGAACAACGAGAACAAATACATCCAATATCAATGCCTTTATTTCATCTTTCCGGTAATGGAAAAGCATAACGCCTCTCCAATATAGCTTTACACTCGACTTCCCCTCCCCATGGGACGCCCCTTTAGTCCTATGCGGATGGAGTTGAGGCCGCTGGGTTTGTGCCCGTGGGGGTCGTTTTGTTAAAGCTGATGGGACACATACAGTCCGGGAGCACCGCTGATTCTGAACCCAAGCCAGACATTCTCCGGTCCCTGGCGGCGGGGTTGGCCCTGGCAACCAGCCTGTTGCGGATGTCTGACAGTGGTGGGTCAGGTTTTGGTTTTCAGTTGCCGTTGTTGTTGTTGTTGTTCTGGGCATTCTGGTTCAAAGACTGTTGTGCAATCACAATTACATTGGAGGCACTGTGCTAAAGACGGTTTATTGGAGTGACAGCAGAGACACCTGACCCCGACTCGTCTAGAGGGTCTCAAATTTCAGCTAGCTTGACACTGGTTGCTGAATGAAAGACAACAGTTTAAACAGTTATATTGGTACTAATAAATCCCTATCAATAAAAACAATTAATGAAATATCAAATGTAAAATGTCATTTTAGCTCAGTTTTGGTCTCCACCTACTCTCTACCTCTCTAGCTGCTAAATTCTGTTATGTTGACCTGCTTGTCTCTGGCTTTGTCTGCTGCAGGTGGCGGACAGTGGACCTTTGGAGCTTTTAGATGAAGACAGCTGCTTGCTGTGGCTGACCATGATCCAAGAACTTAAAGTGCAACAGAATGTTTGTGGGCTAAAAACAACAAATTAGCTAAATAACCTTTTTTTTTAAATATCGTCCAATCAATGATCAGTGCGCGGGCAATGTTTTGGAAGAAAGCATATTAAAAAGCTAAATAAGGATTAAAACACACAAACACACACGCAGGCATCTGGTCTACAATTTGTGGGTGTTCCCAAGAAGATTATGACGGCAGGGATTTTATTCTCATCATCTAAACGGAGCCTACAGTAGATCCTAGGATTAATATTCTGGAGCCTCCCCTACGCCTCAACCCCCTCCCCACATCTGCAGCAAAAGACAAACACACCCAGTGTGTTTTCTAGCTGCTTTGCCGTGACACTTCAACTAATGACACTCGCACTTCAACCCAGAGACCAGAACCGAGTGAAGCTTCAAAGCAACATGACATCATTGCGTTGCGACAGCACGTCTGCCTCTGGAGGGGAAAAAAGGCCAAAATATTCATGGACCTTGCCGGCAGAAAATCACAGACAGGCAAGCGGGCTAGCAGGTCTGAAATTAAACAAATGTGATCCAATCAGAGAAATAAGGAAGGCTTTTCCTGACTGCTCCGAAATGTGTGCCACAAATGAAGACCATTCTCACGGGGCCGCTGCAGCTCCATTTTTGTGAGCTTAACGTTTGCCATTTCAGGTCATCACCTTCTCCAAGGGACAATAGAAACCTCTTCGAACTCTAACGAAGACAGGAAGTTTCTAGCCTTTGAAGAGCTTGTGTCCTTTTCTCTAGGTCTGTTATTGTAGCAGATGCAGGTGACGCTTTTACTGTCGCGTGTCCCGCTGTGGGAAAGGAAGGCGGTTATTTCTGTGTTGGAGCAGAGCCAATCCTGCACGCATGTCTTTGCACACTGATCGAGGAAGAGACAGTTTCAACATTACCTCACATACACGCTAATGTGAAATGAAACTATTTCAGTTGGACTGACTCAAATTACCAACGTTTCATAACTACCATTAGACACAATCAGGTTATTCTTGAAGTTCACACAGCAAAAATGGAAAAAGGCTTGAAAACGTCACTTACAAGTATGGCAGACGGAGCCTAAGCTATTTATTCTTTATCTGGATTAAAACGTCTTTTAAATCATTTTAAAAAGTCATCTCAATGGATTCCAAATACGGTGACAGCGGAAGACATACATGTAAAGATAGAACAAAAGGTAAACACACATCAATTATCCTCGAAGCTTGCAGGTGGGGCCTGTAACTTCAGCCTCAACCTCCCCATTTATGTCAGTAGAATGCTGTGCTTTCAATGGGCCTGTGTCACAAAGTTAGAGAGTGGCTGCCTGCGAGCTTGTCGAAACTATGGATTTCCCCCCTAACCTCAATTTGCTTCTGGCAAATTGGTACCCAACCCCAGCTGGTCTACCTGGACTGAAAAGGCAGGGACAGCAGGCTGCAGATAAGTCCACTCAGGATATTGGCCAGGCACCATTTTGATAGCACTGCTGATATTTTGCAAATTTTGAATTTGCAAAAATCAGCTACACTCCTTCACTGTATGAAGCTTATAGGGATCATTTTAATGCACAGCAACACAAAGCCAAAGCCTGGGATTACTGTCCCATTAAAAACTGAGGGAGGTTGTGATTGAATGAATACATGTAGCTGAAAAGGAAACTTTTAAATGTGGATTGTTCACGTCATGGTCAATACCCATTCCACCTAATCAGGTCAGTACCGCAACTGATACCGATCTGGTGTCCCTAATTCTTCCAATCGGATGGATCATGCAGTCCGTCGCAAGCGTGTGTGAGTGCCCCCCTCTTCATCGCGTCAGGAGCGAATGACGCGATTCATACGAGTTGACCAGAAATGGTCCACTGAGAATATGCGGCGCATTAACAGCGTTTGGTGTGAACCGAGCATCAAGGAGCTTTTGACCTTCTGACTTTTTGGAGTGCAAAAGAAAGTCACGTCAACCCCGATCCCATCACAGGGATGAGCTTAACCGAAGAATTGAACACAAATAATTAAATATCAGAAACCACCTCAAGCCAAATTGTAATCATTGCAGGTCATTCGACACATTCCACAAAAAAATATTCTTAAAAATATTTAGCTTCCTTCCCTGCCGTCCTTCCTTGAATGATATTAAGTTACTGAACAAATCTAGTATTATTACAACTTAGGCAGACACAAATCAACCAGAAGTCCACTGAGAGAAAACAATGCTGCAACATTTATCTAAAAGGAAATTACATATTAGAATAATTTCTACAGAAAGGTATTTTCTGTCTTTAAGTGTTTTAAACATCATTAACTGCATTAAAAAAAAAGTTTTAGTCTTCCATAGCAGATGAAACCAGCTTTTCGGATGGAAAATGTGATCCGAAATTTTGCCTGTGTCACTTCAATAAATGCATTAGGAACTCTGCATAATATGTATTAGTTTCATGTGTGTGCATGCATCTTACTCCCTCTCACCCCCCCTCCCGTGTGTTGTCTCCCTTTACCTCCCTATGCATGTGCATGGTGAATGGGCTCGAGCTTCTTTCTAAAAAGTAAACACTGCTGCATGAATGAGACGAGCGGATGAGAGTCAGCTGACGTTTATTCAGATCTAAATCGGTCCGACTTTAAATACAACCGGCCATCCGAGCGCTACAACCATGTCATCTGGGGCCGCCACCGGTTCCATAACACTGGAATCAAAACAAACTGACAGAGAGAGGAGGAGGGAGGAGGAGGGAGGAGGAGGGAGAAGGAGGGAGGAAGAGAAGCACCAGCTGTTGACGTTGTTTTTTTGTAGCTGAATAAGAGAGCCACCGAGAAAAATACGTGATGAGAGAAGCCGCACGTGTGCACGACCAGCCGGTGACGCATGTTGTTGTGGTTGAACATGAGCGGACTCGCACCGAGAGGCCAACTGTCCTGATGTAAGGACTCACAAACCCGCCTGCAGCCCAAAACACAGGGCTTACAGACAAGCTTGACTGTCTAGCAAGAACAGGACCCCTCACAGCGCTCACTCCTTTGCTCGATTGTGCGCGCAGACGCACAGCGAGTATAGAGAGGAAACCTTATATTTCACCAGCCAACACTGACGACGCCTTCAGAGTCAATTTGTCACTGGCAGTGCAGATGCCTGACGGACCAGCAGGCGCATACCTCTTAACTGTGCCGCCAGCGCTTCTGTGGGTCTGCCAACCGGAGCGACAGTAACCCCCAAGAATCCGGACCTCTCCGGGGAAAACAAAAATCAAACCGCAACACGGTAGCGTGCTGGCTGACACGTGCCCCGTTTACCTCAGCAGAACCTGACTCGACGCGAGAGCCGCTGGACCGGGGAGGCTCCGACGGTGAGCGAGGGCGCGGCCGCCGCCGGCTTTGATTTTGTGTGTCAACACAAGCGCGTGCGATGCCGCAACGTCTTTTGGAAAGCGCTTGGTGGGGGAATCATAACTGACAGCAGAGAAAAGGGGAAGTGACGAGCCACACCTACACCCAGCGGGGTGAAAAGGTCTCAGCGGCCTGTAGCGAGTTCGCCTTCAGTGATCTTGAAAACAGAACCCGCCTGTTCTGTGCGTTCTCTAAACGACGCAACCCCCCCCTGTGAGAGATTCCATGCATCTCCCCTCATATTTAAATAAGCAGTTGGTGGACTTACAGGGCTCTGCAGGATCTGCGTGACGCGCTTCTTCTGCTCCAGGACGTTGAAGTCCTGCCGGAGGTCGGGTGACATGTTCCTGGCCCTGACGTACTCTGGATCGTTGACGTTGACGCGGTCGAAGTAGCGCTCCTTCGCCCCGCCGCTCGGTGGGGGAGGGGTGGTCACCACCTCCCGGTGGCCGTCGGCGCTCATGCCTGCTTCACCTGTGTCGCTCGCTGCGTGGTGCCGCTACGACTCCCGCCTGAGAAGAGGAGGAAAGATCATTTCATTTATGGGTATTCCATTTAATTTCAACCTACGACTGTAATATTTACTCAGTACTCAGATGTTTTACACTATTTCAAAAAAAAAGGGAGTTTAGAGAAGTGAACAGAAAGCGCCGGGTCACAAACATTTACAGCGACGTGCTATGCAAATTATCACAATGCAAAGCAGATGTGCTCGTAGAACACAACATTTTCATAATGTCTATTATCAATTTCATTTATATGCTGCCTCATTTCACCCTGAATAATATTTACCACACAAGGCTTCACTGACAAGCCACTCATGTTTAAAATCCGTCGCTTAAGTTAACCGATCAAAGTCGTCAAATGATGTAGTGAAATATCACTTTCTAAACTGGCAATCCAAAAGCCAACATGTCATCCGGGCACTGAGTGGGCTGCGCTCCATCGCTTCACTGCAGCACGTACGCATCAGTCGGGTCACCCGGCCGAGAGAGCGTCCGCCGAGGCGCACCAGGGGGACATGAGCGGTTTAGTTTGATGATCGAGGCCTCGACTGGCGAGGCGCTTCACTCCCACCGTTCATCCACAGGTCAGCTGGCCAAACATCAAGCACTTTGCCGGATGCAGGAATTGTTACATTAAAAGCAAGAGTGACCCCGTAACCCCGTTGGTGTCCCGCCAAAAGGGACATAGCCAATAAAAACAAAAGGAAATACATTTAAAAATATGGCGAGGCTTGTGGTGTGTGTGAGAGTTCACTCTTTTAGAGGAAGTCTGACAAAAAACATCCAGAAAAAAAAAACAGAACAGAATTTTTTTTTTCTGCATCTACGTGTCCTCCACAAATTCCTTTAGAACTTGACCATCGCCAAGTGGAAAAGAAAGACTGATTCACTTTTGAGTTAGATCGATTATTCACCTTTTTCTTTAAGATTTACTTTAACAAGAGATGGAATGCATAATGCGTAACACAGAAAGGAAACACATATAATACTGCATTTTCCAGGACGCCTTGCAACTAGGCTGCTGTTGCTGCAGCGAGGGATAAGCTGGTGCTGTTTTAGGGAGAGGCGGGGCTTAAGGGACCTCTAACAGATGGTGCATTGGCTTGAAGAGCGGAGGAATGAGGGAATGAAAGAGGGAGAGAGAAAGAGTTTAAGAAAGGAATCACTCTGCTTTTTGGCTTTCAGAAGCCTGCCGGCTGCAGGAGGGTCAGGACGTGGTGGTTGCACCGCCAGGAGTCACACCTTCTCCCTTTTCCTTTCCTCTGCACTCTGCCCGATGGGGCACAGGGGTCCTCGAGGTGGTTTGGTCCGTACATGCCGCTAAGCTACTCACTCAGGGCAAGAGCCACTTTAGATCAGAAGACTCACTACGCTAATGTGAAGAAGGAGTCGGACTCGGACAAACAAAGCAAAGTTAGAAAAATCCCTCAAAGTGGATCAACATGTAGCATGTTGCGTGTAGCATGGCTGAAACCCATTTGCACGAGTGCTGCTGTACCGATGCTTTGCTCAAGGACACTCAGCGCAGCTCAATGTGTTTGTCAATCAGCCCCCCCCCCCCTCCTCAATGACTTCCCTATTTGAACCAGGAGATAACATGCAGTCACGAGTTTCAGCAAGCAGTCGGATGAAGAAAGAAGCTCACGCCCTCTGGGATGACTGCGCTGTTGTGCTGGTGAATCCACAGAGAATCCACCGAGGCCGCTCGCTCGCCACCAAAGCTGTGCTTCATACGATGGAGGAGAATAAAAGCCGCCCAAAAATCCTCTTTAATTGAAGGCAGCTGTGCAGGGAAGAGTTACGTAATCCGATATTGAATTCATCCGACCTGCTTTCCGAGTGCACGCGGCGGGTTAGGATGGAACCGCAAACGCGCGGCTGGGTGATGGCGGGTAAAAGAAGACCCGGGGGGGGGGGACCGCTCGATGCCGATGAGCCGTCGACGCGTCCTTCCGCTGTTTTTACAGTCTCAGCTTCTAATTTTACCTTTACCTTATTTTCTTATCGGTCGCAATTATTCAAGGTGTCTAATTGCTCCAGAATCCAATGTGTGCACGACGAGTCCAGAAAGCCCAGAAAGCCTTCTGAGGAGTAATGACCCTGAAATATGCTGAATGAGAGGAATTCTGTTACCGTAGAATGCAACAGCTGTAGCCGCACCAAAATAAAGTGACACCCGCCTCCCTCTACTCGCACACAAACACTCTGTCACAAGACCGACTCCAGCACCCCCCCACACACAGCATGAGCCCCCCCCACAGCATGAGCCCCCCCCTGCACCTCTGTCAATAGATCATTGTCCCGCTCCCGAATCCTCTCGGCCCGTTCACATCCATCCAGAGGCTTCGGCGGATCGGAGTGTGCTCAGTTAATCTGAGTAAGAGCGACTGATCGCATCACGGCTCCAATGTTTACACCTCGAAAAAATAACACTCATCCAGTGAGACGCGCCGAGGTTCTTCACCACAACGCCGGCCGTTTAGATCGAGGTCAGCGAGCGATGGGAAATTCCAGACGCCATCGCCCTTTAAAAGACGCGACTCACTGCAATAGATTTAAGCCCCATCGGGATGTGGTAGATACGGAGCAGGCCGGCCGCGGGCTGAGGCACGGAGACGGCAACTACTCGTGACCTTTAGTGCCCCCCCCCCGTCCTCACAGCTCTGCATAGAGATACTCATCAACGTTCACGTCTTCAGAGTGCTACAGACACAATGACTGCTGCCGACCCAACCAGGCTTGACACGTCCTTTGTTACCAGGCGTTACTTGGTGTCCCGTCTTAACCCTCACAGTATGTCCCTTCTCTCCATTTAAACAGGAATGTCCCATTCAGAGTCCTCGTCATGAGGGAAAGACAGAGACAATCTGAAAGATACTGGTCTATGATTAGTGTCACTATCCAATTTATGGGGAATTACATCCTTGATTAATTGATTAGTCTTCTGATTTGGTTTGACTAAGCTGAAGCTGTTCTATTTACCATTACAAGACACAAAATAAAACCTGTGAATCCCGTAACTTCAAATCTCTGATCATTATCTCACTAACAGTCCACATCCCAAAAATATTCAGTTTACTTCCTGGTACGACAAAGAAAAGCTAAATCCTTACATTTCAGAGAAAACTTTTACTTGGCCAATAATTAATAAAACTATTCAACCATCGTAACGGGTTGCAAATTAACTAACGACTAACTGATGATTACTGCTTGTTTCTACAGCATTCAAATGAAACGCTTTGAAAAACACATTTATTCAATTAAATAGCATTCTTTACTTCACCTCTAATGGCGGGAGCCAACTGTGTGTCTGACCGCGCTCACCCACAATGCCTCAGTATTCATCTGACATTTGGCTGCATCTCCATCTGAGGTCAGCCAGCTGATCCAGACACCTGCTCCACCTCTCCGTCGGCTCCGGTCCCTCCGCTTTCCTACTTTTAAAATGTATGTTCTGTCCTGACGAATTGGGTACAACTCGCCCGGGGCACGCGAAAACACCACAATAATGCAGGCCGACAACACAACGCTGTGGATAACGCACCCACCAACACACACACACACACACACACCTCTTATCTATATCGTGCCTCGGGGGGAAGCTCGGCTGTCGGGCTGCTTGAGTGTCCGTCACCAAAAATAGACAAACAGCCCTTTGGGTTGTGTTACGACGCCAACGGCAACAATACCAGGAAAGAATCTGTACGTCGGCTCATTATATCCAAACACACACTATACATCTGCACACCTGCAGTGTAGAAACCTGTACAAACACACAAAAAAACACACAAAGCAAACAAACTCAGAGTGTTCAAACACGCCTGCGTGACAGAACCAGCAGTGAAACTGGAGGCCGCTGTGTGTGTGTGTGTGTGTGTGTGTGTGTGTGTGTGTGTGTTTGTTAAACGCTCAGCAGCTTACAGTCGATCCAGCAGCTTCACCATGAGACACAACTCTGCGTCACGGCCGCACAGGGCAGCACTCGGTTTGTTGGGAAACCTTATTGCGGAGAAACACGCACGAAAGAAATAAGCTTACCGGCACTTTGATTCCTTTGACGGACACTTCCAGGCGGATTCTTGTTGATCGAGTGCGTCGCCCCCCCCACCCCCCTTTAACATGCAACCTCTGATCTTCTCCCCGCCACGGCTAATCTTCTCCGGTGCTTACTGCACTGGTACTGTTGGGAGGGCAGGAGAGTGTGCGCGTGGGTGTGTGTTTGTGTGTGCCCGAGGCAGCCAGGAGAACATGGAATTCCCCTAAAAGTACACATCGGTTTGTGTGGATGGATGATTGTGGAGTTCGAGTCACGCTTTTGGAAGCATGTGTGGACACAAAAACACGAGAAGGACTCTGGGTCTTTAAAAGGAACGTAAATCCAAAATCTAAGTGCAATGACGCAAGAAACCCGCCCATAAACAAATAAGCCGAGCCCGACCAACCTTGTGTTTGCAGCCCGCTCAGTGAATGGGAGACTTCAGGCCGTAGTAGTGAGCAGCTGGAGCGAAACACATGTCTCTGTTTTTCTCTGCTGCCTGCAGTCTGCGCTCAAATTCCAACACTGTGTCCCAGGCAGAAGCCGGGGCAAAGACGGGGGAGGCGGGAGAGGGGGAGAGAGAGAGAGAGAGAGAGAGAGAAAAGAGCGGGATGTGGACGACCAAAAGTGAGATCCGAGCTGCGATCGGTGCACCTATCCGACCAGAAGGTCTGTACGGAGGCTCTTTGGTCCGAGCTGCAGAATCCCGCGGTCTCTGTTTATCACAGAGAGACGCCTCAACCGCCGTGGGTGTGTGTGTGTGTGTGTGTGTGTGTGAGAGGGTGTGTGTGCGCTGTGTGCCCTCTGCAATTGAGGGTGAGTGTGTGTGTGTGTGTTTGTGTGGAAAAGCTAAAGGGACCACGTGACGCTGGCTTAATCCCCCGCCCACCGGCTAGAGACACACACACACACACAGACACACACACACTCAGGCTCGACCAATCACAGCTCCGGCTCACGCAGACTAATC